CCACCGACGCCTCACCAGAGCTCTTCACAACAACACAATTATTGTGATTAGGCTCTGCATACGGTTTAGAGGAATAGGGCTGCGTTTGAACCACATCTTTGCCCTGCGCTTCTCAGAATCCATTATGGTGGGTTGTCAGAAGGTAAGATGCGGACAGGAGTGGGGAGTGTTTGTTCTTTTTTCTCTCTTAGTAAATGAGACCTCCACAAATTCCTTCCAGAGGTCTCTTGTGAACTGCTTCCTGTGAGGTAAACCAGCATTCCTGGTGATCCTGAAAAAGAAGCAAAATAAACAGCCTGCCCTGCATCGGGACTGGGGTTTCACACCAAGTGCACTTCATACCTGTGATGCGATATTCAACATGAGATCATTGATAAGCAGCTGAGCGTTGGTCAGCATTTCTGACAGTGGATAAAAGGCCAGATCTCTTTATGCAAAATGACAACAGAGGCAAAAGAATGACCGACCGTAGCTCTTTGGAAAATGACTAGTCTCTGGTGTTGTTAAACCTGTACCTTAATCAGGCTGTCGTTTGATCTCAGGACACTCAGTGACAGCTGCTCAGCTTTATTCTCCACAGTGTACCTTTCTAATACTGCATTCTTCTGTCTTTATATGTACATGATGTGTTTTACAGTATGATATTTGCAGTGGCGAGCCATGACAATTGGTGCTAGGCCTTCAGTTCAGACCATAGATGTTCAAAACTTGGTCAAAAACAAGGAAAAAACATCCACAATAATGCCAGTTTCTGCTAGCACCCTGAATAGCTAAGCTAACGTCAATTCAAAGGAAAATTTTCTGCCTGTTCTAGATTAAACACAGACATTTGCAAGTTATAAAGGACATTCCATGATTTATTTAAAGCCTGTAACAGACGTATTAAACATATTGTACCTTGTAGTTGTTTTACAGTGACTTCAGTAAAGAGCTCTGGTGTTCCAGTTCTAACATCAGACTTAAATGTGTTGGTCATCACCGCTCGTATTCACAGTCAGTGAACTGTAGAAGGCCTAGAGTGATGTTTTTGTCGTATGAGACTCATTAAAAATGAAGAATGTAACCTTTTTGTTTGCTACCAGAACAATGAAATAAAAGCAGTTCTTTAATACTTGCAGAGTTTGAATACAAAAAGCATGATGAACATATTGTGGCTGCACCACTGTGAATGTGCTGGTTGTGGTAAATCATGTCCTTTTCAGCTAATTAGTGTGCTGGAAGTGTTTACCATCACTGTGTTACTTTTGCCTTTTGATGACCTGTCCTCATTTCCCCCCGTGAGTTTAGTTTCTCTGCTGCCTGCTGTTTCAATAAAGAGCCTTTTCCTGAAAAGAAAATGTTCGATTCCTGGTCTTGTTCTGCGCCAAAAATGACCTAAAATTGACACTTTTTTTACAACCCCAATTGCAAAAAGTTGAGACGCTGTGTAGAGTGAAAGTAATTGTAAATAAAAGCAGAATGCAATGATTTGTAAATCTTATAGACCCATATTTCATTCACAATAGAACATAGAACACACATCAGATGTTGAAAGTGAGACATTTTAGCATTTCTTGAAAAATATTAACTCATTTAGAACGTGGTAGCACATGGTTTCCAAAAAGAATTTCAAATTTTGATTCATCTGACCACAGAACAGTTTTCTATTTTGCCTTTGGCCCAGAGAAGACGGCAGCGTTTCTGGATCATGTTGACATTTGGCTTCTTCTTTACATGATACAGCTTTAACTTGTATTTGTGGATTGCACGGTTGTTCACAGACAATGATTTCTGGAAGTGTTCCTGAGCCCATGCAGTGATTTCCAGTACAGAATCATGCCTGTTTTTAATGCAGTGCCGTCTGAGGGCCTGAAGATCACGAGCATCCAGCATTGACCGTCGGCCTTGTCCCTTGCGAACAGGGATTTCTCCAGATTCTCTGAATCTTTTGATGATATTATGTACTGTAGATGGCGGGAAATCCAAAGTCTTCACAATTTTACATTGAGGAACATTTTTCTGAAATTGCTCCACAATTTTTAGACAGTTTTTCTCAGATTGGTGAACCTCTGCCCATCTTTGCTTCTGAGAGATTCCGCCTCTCTAAAATGCTCTTTTTATACTCAGTCATGTGAGTTAGTGGCAAATTGCTCCTCCAGCTGTTTTTTATTAGCACCACATTAGTACCACATCTGATATGTGTTCTGTGTTCTACTGTGAATGTGAGATTTGCAAATCATTGCATTCTGTTTTTATTTACACATATTTACATTTTTGACAGCGTCCCAACTTTTTTTGGAATTGCGGTTGCCTTTGCCAGAAATCATTAGGACATCTTTGAAGGCCTAGAAGGCCCTGAGTGTTCCCCTCTGGATGTTTGCAGGTTGTGATATATGATAACATCGCTGAGACAGAGACTTTAATGTGTGCTATATTTACCTTTATGCATTTGGCAGATGCTCATATCCAGAGTGACTTATGCTTTAATCATGTTACAGATGACGGTCAGTGCAGTGTTAGGATTCTTGTCCAAGGCAAGGTGGTATAGTACAGTGTGCTTTCCCAAGTGTGGAAGGCAGTAGTGTTACTCAGCATGCTATACCAAGCATTAACTGTGTGTCCAAAAGTTTGTAGACACCTGCTCATCCAGTACCACAAAGGCCAATTCAGCTCATCCCAAAGGTATTTAATGGAGCTACATCACTCCAGAGAATGCAGTTCCACTGTTTCACAGTGCAGTGCTGAGGGGCTTTATACCCCTCCAGTGGACATTATGCACTACAGATGGTGACCTTAGGCCTGTTGTTGCTCCAGAACACCCCATTTTATTGGCACTGTTTTTGTCTGGAGACTGTACACTCTCAGAAATAAAGGTACTACACTGTCTCTGGGTCAGTTCCCCTCCTGTCACTAGGCTGGTTCCCTCAAGGGTCCATCTCAGTACCTTTAGTCAGGGAACATAACTGAACCATAATCCACTGAAATGATATGTTCTAAGCTGTACTGACTCCACACACCCCGTCTCGTCTCCAGGACTTTATTTTACTGTTCTGTTTAAAACATTCAGTTATGAAAAGGTACAAATACAAACTTTTCACCTGGAGAAACTTATTTAAGGTTCACAATCAGACCTTAAAACCACTGTTGGAGCTTTGAGGGAACATTTACACTGTTTGTACCTTGAAAAATGAAAAACGTACCTGAACAGAACCTTCATTTCTGACAGTGTACAAGCATGGACGTGTTACTGGAATATGTCATGGTCTAGTCATCGGGCAGCTGGCGTTTTCAACTGATGTAAAAAGAAAGTAAGACATGAGTTCAGCTAAGTGAGACATCAGGTAAAGTAGGACAAATAAGATGAATGGTGTGTTGCTCTTTGAGTGACGGGAGCCAGTCAGATGTAACTATCATGAGTAATTGCCAGCAGGATGTTTGTCATTCACTGTATTTCATTGGCCTGGTGTTATCGTTGAGGCTATTGTCGTAACTTGAAATCAAACAAAACGTATGATGGTGGGCCAATGAGTGGATCCTTCTAAACCAGTGTGGTATATTATGATTGTTTATGATCACACTTTTAATGGAATGGACAAGGTATCAGTATATTTAAGGCAGTATATTAAGTAACAGGACGCATTATGCATGGATGAAGATACCAACATTAGGCTACCGGTGTGAGATTTAGCTCTTGTATAGTCATCTCCGTAACATTTTTCATAAAAAAAAACTGTGTCTGGGGTCAATTTCATAAATCCTGTGGACGGAGAAGGGTTTACGAGAAACAGCCATGACCTTGAAGCTGCCCTGGATGTACAACACAGTCATGATCTCAAAAGATATCAAATAAGAAAAGCGGATAATGGCGCACGAAGGGTAGAACAAAAGTTCAGATTTATTTTTTTTACTATAAAATACTTTTACAGACAAAATAAATATTCCAGCATTAACATCTATACCTTCTGCAAAACCTTCTCTTAAACATGCTGCAATCCTTCATATTTGCACATCTACCTTTTGAACAAAGCCACAGGGACTTAGCAATATAATATAACTTTTATCATAAAATCTTCTTATGGTTGGTCAAAACACCTTTAGGAACAACAAAGCGGTGTAGAAAATACTTACAGACAGGCAGTAAAGGACAAAGTCACTGGTTAGTATGTGCCAATTTGCAGTGATGTTGGAAAAACAAAAAAAGTCCAGTTAAGCAACTAAATATACATACAGTTAGTGGACTGCTTAACACACTGTGGGTGTAAATAAGCAGGCATAACATTATGACCATTGTCCATTTTATCAGCTCCACTTACTATATAGGTGCACTTTGTAGTTCTACAGTTACAGACTGTAGTCCATCTGTTTCTCTGATACTTTGTTAGCCCCCTTTTACCCTGTTCTTCAGTGGTCAGGACCCCCATGGACCCTCACAGAGCATTTACTATTTGGGTGGTGGGTCATTCTCAGCACTGCAGTAACACTGACGTGGTGGTGGTGTGTTAGTGTGAGTTGCGCTGGTCTGAGTGGATCAGACACAGCAGTGCTGCTGGAGTTTTTAAACACTGTGTCCACTCACTGTCCACTCTATTAGACACTCCTACCTTGTCAGTCCACCTTGTAGGTGTAAAGTCAGAGTCGATAGCTCATCTGCTGCTGCACAGTTTGTGTTGGTCATCCTCTAGTCCTTCATCAGTGGTCACAGGACGCTGCCCACAGGATGCTGCTGGCTGGATATTTTTGGTTGGTGGACTATTCTCAGTCCAGCAGTGACACTGAAGTGTTTAAAAACTCCAGCAGCACTGCTGTGTCTGATCCACTCAGACCAGCGCAACTCACACTAACACACCACCACCACGTCAGTGTTACTGCAGTGCTGAGAATGACCCACCACCCAAATAGTAAATGCTCTGTGAGGGTCCATGGGGGTCCTGACCACTGAAGAACAGGGTAAAAGGGGGCTAACAAAGTATCAGAGAAACAGATGGACTACAGTCTGTAACTGTAGAACTACAAAGTGCACCTATATAGTAAGTGGAGCTGATAAAATGGACAATGAGCGTAGAAACTAGGAGGTGGTCATAGTGTTACACCTAATCGGGTTATTTTGTTCTTAACTATTATATTCTTTCTTGAAAGCTGTAGCTTTGTGGCCGACTGTATCTCAAGTCCTGAACAGTACATCATTTCTGACAGTCAGATTGAAGAAGGTCTCACGTACCATGAATTATGACCATTCACATTACCAGTAATATTTACAGAAATAGAATTGCTGTGGCTGTGGTTGACTGCAAGACTGCAAACAGACATAGTTTGCTTCACACTCCTCAGGTTTTCTGGATGGCACCGTACCTCCTTCGTTTCACCATGACCTTGTATCGTTCTTTGGATTTTCCAGGAGGCCGACTCAAAGCAGAAGCATTTTCACCCCTGCAAGAATAAACAAGATGTGTGTATCAACAAATGTACTGTAAGATCTGTAGCTAAATGCTTTAATATGCTGTAAAAACTATGTTCACGTACTCTGAATACCACTGGGAACAGAACTTCAAGCACTCAGCATCGCTCTTATTTCTGCAACGACATCGCGCCACATCTCGTCTTATACGCATCTGGAGGGATCCCACTCCGTATGGAATTATCTGACTGAAAAAGGAGGTGAAAATGTGAGTTTAATGCTATACAGTGGCCTATTTGCTACAATATATGTCCAAACTTATGCAGTCATCCTTTCTAATTAGTGACGTCCACCTCTGGCTGGTGGAGCTGCCCTATCTGAGAGATGGAGCCCCATCCAGTGCCTTTGGATGTGAATTGGAGCGACGTTTGTGATCCAGAACTAATCCAATGTCAGAAGCTGACCTCACTAATGCAGACTGAATGCAAGCAAAATCTCATAGCAGTGTTCCAACATCTAGTGTAAAGACTTCTCAGAAGAGCAAAAAGGACAAACTAATACCCCTAATTTTAAAAAAAAATGGATGAGCAGATGTCTAAAAACTTTTTTTTTAACGTAGAGCTGGGGAAGTATTACAGAAACTTCTTAAGTCTGAAATCTTATCTGCTTAGTCACCATGACAACTTTAGGTAGGGCTGAATTTAGAACAGAAGCTCTTACAGAACAACAGTTCTTAAGTTCATAATCTCATCATTAACTCCAGATAAGAAAACAGTATTACAGAAACATCCTGACTGGACTAAACTTCCTAAATTCTGATCTAACTTTGTCTGTTTCTGTTGTTTTATGCAGTAACACAGCACAGTTCATTATACCCAGAAAATGAGCTACATTTATCTACACTGAAAACGCTGCTTTGACTTGAGTTCTTTTTTCTAACAGTGTTTTAAAAATCTCAGACGCTGCAGACAAATAGTTGTACGTTTCCAAGTCAGAGATCATATTTTCCCGAGTACTGAGTACAGTGAAATGCAGCGGTAGACGTGTCTTTGTGCCGTGTTGTTATTGTCATTGAGTCTTGTCCCTGACGGATGTACACCAGGGTAAGGATGTTTCAGTCTGGACTATCTGTGGGAATTTGGGTAATGTACATATATACATTGTCTCGTGCAAATCAGCCATTCAAATTCCTTACATATAACTCACAGAACTCTGGTAAAGTGACACAAATAGTGCTGAAGTCGAAGAACAGATCATCAATGAACTCTAGCACCTTTCTAGGAAAGCCATCCTGCAAGAAAATAGGCAGTCACTGGATGTTGCCTGTCATCTTTATTTATTTCCCCTAAGCCATAGCACGGCTCTGTGGTTGTTTGGTTGCCTTTCATTGAGACCAAAGGCAGTCTGTCTGTCCTTAGGTCTTCATGCATGGGCCAAGTTAATGAGACCACACACTTAAATGCAAGCAGACACATGTCTTCATCCTCCACAGGTTAGCAGCATCACTCCCTCTCTCCCACTACTCGGCCCGCAGCATCTGCTTAAACAGATTAGACAGTTTTCTTTTCTTATTATTGCTTTTTTATTATCATCATTGTAGTTTTTAACCTCAATTTCTCAGCTCTGTTTCTACTTTGACTAGAACTGTTTAACTATTTGCAGTGCGTCACAGGAAAGTCTATCAGTTGGGACTAAGTGTTTGCCATTATTCTTGTTTTAAATTGGATAAGGGAAAGATAATGACATACTACTATGCAAAAGAACTTGTATATCACTGTTGTCGGAACAAAACCTCCAATCTCCAAAATGGAAACTTTACAGGAAAAAGAAAAAACATACCTCACTTTTAATGTAAGTCAATGGAACCAGACTTTTTTCCAAGTCAATTTGGGCCGTTTCTTTTGGTCCATACATCATGAAATTCACACACAATTTAAAGGGCAATTATGTCAAAAACTGAAAAACGACAAAAATTGAGGTACAAGGTTTTGTTCCGACAGCAGCGATATATCTGATTTGTCTGCTTATATAAACTGTAGTCTTTGTAATGTCCTGCAACTGCAAACTGCAAATGCAACTGCAATGTTTCAAGCCAAACAGGCTAGTTTTGGAAAATGACTCTGACGTTTGCAATTCCTTATTTTTTATTTATTTATTTATTTTTTTTTTTTTTTCCCAAGCATGGCGGACAATTCTGGCCAAAACATATTTAACTCTAGACAATTATTTAGCTATTCATGTAAATTCATCTGCAATGTGTCACGCAACTCTCTGGAAGACACAGACTTCATCTCCCAGAATCCTCTGGGAGATCACATGACTGAACATCCGCACTCGGAATCCGGCTCCGGAGAGAACTCCATTGCCCAGAATTCAGTGGGGTCTCATGTGACTTTGGACTTTCACCGGCGAACCTATCAGCACTCTCAATCCCCCGAGTACTAACTATGTTCACCTGTGCATATGATCATATGACAGATAGTTAGCAGTATTTAAGCCCGGCTTTAGTCTGAACCTTTGTGAGGTATTGTTTCCTACAAACCTACTGAGCGTCATTTGCCTGTTTGATTATACTCCGTGTTTGGACCTTTGCTTCGTTTGTTCTGTTTTTGACTTTTTGCCTCTTCCCTTGGTACTTTTGCTGTTCTGACGGATCTGTGTTTTGACTTCTGGCCTGTGTTTTTGACTTCGATTTGAGCTTTGCCCTTTTTGCTTACGGTTGGTTTGTTGTTAATAAACCACCTTCATTTTTACATCCGCAAGCGTCTGATTTTCTGTCACGGAGTCACACATTAACGTACTTAGTAAGTACTATGGATTTTTCCTTAATTACCATAAAACTAAAACTATACTTGAAGGCTACATTCACTGGTACATCATAACATGTGCATAAGCATTGAATACCTTATTTATAAAGTAGTTGACTTTTTACAAAAAGCTTATACTATTAATCTCAAGATGACGTCAATGACTTTGTATGGACATATAGGGGCTCAATCTAAACTAGAATCTCTAACAATGTTATGAAGCATCATTCCTAAGTAATGGAACTAAGAAATCGTTTATTAGCTTCTAGATTAGTCTTATGATTTAAATTTAAGTGAAATGGCGTTTGCCACAGTTGACCTCTCACAGTATCAGCTCTAAGAGTTTTAACCAAGTCACACTGCCTGACAGTTGGCTAAACTATTTTGTGTCTGATTCACTAAAGCCTTAGATTAATAATTTTTATATAAGAAAAATCTGATTTATATGTGTACAAGTACTCTATGTTGATCATACCTACAGTTTTTGCAAAAGTTTGAACATGATCAAATAACATATTACACTGATCAGGCATAACATTCTGACCACCTCCTAATTTCTATGCTTATTGTCCATTTTATCAGCTCCACTTACTATATAGGTGCACTTTGTAGTTCTACAGTTACAGACTGTAGTCCATCTGTTTCTCTGATACTTTGTTAGTCCCCTTTAACCCTGTTCTTCAGTGGTCAGGACCCCCATGGACCCTCACAGAGCAGGTACTATTTGGGTGGTGGATCATTCTCAGCACTGCAGTAACACTGACGTGGTGGTGGTGTGTTAGTGTGTGTTGTGCTGGTCTGAGTGGATCAGACACAGCAGTGCTGCTGGAGTTTTTAAACACCTCAGTGTCACTGCTGGACTGAGAATTGTCCACCAACCAAAAATATCCAGCCAACAGCGTCCTGTGACCACTGATGAAGGACTAGAGGATGACCAACACAAACTGTGCAGCAGCAGATGAGCTATCGTCTCTGACTTTACATCTACAAGGTGGACTGACAAGGTAGGAGCGTCTAAAAGAGTGGACAGTGAGTGGACACAGTGTTTAAAAACTCCAGCAGCACTGCTGTGTCTGATCCACTCGTACCGGCGCAACACACACTAACACAGCACCACCACGTCAGTGTTACTGCAGTGCTGAGAATGATGTTATGCCTGATTTTTGTATAGGGACCCCCCGAGGCCCCTACCACAATCCTAACCCTCATTGTTTAAAGGGTTAAATGTGAGTGATGTCAGTTGTTGAGCCTGTCGTTATGTGTAGGTCTTCTCTCGCTGATTCCTGTACCTGGGTGTGTTGATCCAAACGATTCCAATATGGCAGAAGTACACGCACTCCTTATCCTTCAGGTTCTCGCAGGAGCAGCGCTTCTCACGGCGCTGGACCCTGTCGTCCAGGTGGACAGGCAATCTTCTTCCGGTATGGTACATTGGGACGGGCAGGGATGCTGTGTGGCCTGAGAAGCACATAGATGAGGATAAGAAGTGGCTGTAGTATTGCATTTTAGCAGAGTACACAATGAGAAATGATGGTTCTTCAAAGGTTCCTTAGTAAAGAAACACTCAAAGAAAGCTTTTCAAGATTAAAGGGGTCTTTGTGTCATGAAAGGGTTCTTTAGATTGATGGAGAATGTGCTGTAGATTTGCTTTAAAGGTTTCCATGTAGAACCAAAAAGGGTTCCTCTGTTGTTACGAGTCTGACATTGTAACTACAGAAGAACCCTTTTTGATGTAACATATTGAACAGATGGTTCCATAATGAACCATCTACATCACATTCCCCATCAATCTGAAGAACGCTTTCACAATACAGTCATGAAAAGGGTTCTTTGATTGTTCATGGTTCTATATAGAACCATTTTCTTAACTGAAGAACCCTTGAAGAACGATCATTATGTGTGTAGGGCTAGAAACATTGTGTTTACATGCACTTAATAATCCGATAACTGCATAAAATCAGATTTTGTCAGTAATCTGATCAACGTGTTCACATGCACTTGAGTAATCAGATAATGGGGAAACTCCAGCTCTACATGAGTCAGACAGTAATCAGATTTCTGCTTTACAACCAGCCAATAAACTCACAGAAGAAGACGTGACGTAAACGTACCGTAAAAGTCAAACTTCACGCTGCAGCTTTTTTTTAAAAACATTGCGTCACTTTACCTAAAATATGAACAAACATCATCTAGAAGATGAAGAATATTTAAATCCTTTATTTTCTGTTTGGTTTCAGCAGCTCGCTTATTTCCGGTACCGCTGTCTGTTTTCGCACATGCTCAGACTGAGAAATCCGAAAGAAATCAGAGTAAGAGTTTACATGCACTGAGAAATCTGATTACTGAGCTAAAATCCAGCCTCTTTATCGGATTTCGTAATCGGATTTCTAGATCAGAGTGTGTTGTTTACATGACCATTTGAATAATCGGATAACCGCAGAAATCTGATTATGATCGGATTATTGAGTGCATGTAAATGCACTCATTGTTAGAGTGGTGATGTCATTCATTTGGCTTTGATTTAATCACACTGACAAGGCCTGTCTAATCACGGGTGAGTCTGTACCGCCAGAAGCAAACGAAGTCCAGGAACGTAAAGGTCAGAACTCATGAAATCTATCAACACACCATGAATAAACTGCTGTGAAAGTCAAAGAGCAATCTGTTCACTCTCTGTTCACTCTCTGTTCACTCTCTGTTCACTCTCTGTTCACTCTGTTTATCTAGTATCTACCATAACTGCTGTAATACATCACTGAGCAGGTATGGTCAGCACACCTGCAGCAGGATGTCCACACAGGGAACTCATTATTTTTATTAAACATGTCCATCAGATTATGCAGTTATTCAATACCTTCTCTACATCTCAAAGAGTGCAAAGGAAAGATGAAAAGGAAGAGAATTGCTGGTTGATTTTAAGCTCCTGTTGGCTGTTTGGCTCTTGGGGTTACCAGTCCTTGTCATAGAGTTCAATTCACACCAAATATAGTTTTTTCAGAAGAGAAAAAATAGCAATTTTTAACATTATGGAACCTTCACATCAAGTCTGATGTGTTTTTAAATTCTCTGAGAAAGCAGAAAGAAGATGGAAGAGGAGGAAACACTCTTCCTTACTTCACCATTATGAATGGATGGAGCTAAACTGCTGTAGGCTGAATAGGTGGATTCATGTGAATAGGTAGATACATGTGTTTTCATGGTAGTACAGAAACGACCTGATTCTGCAGATTTTTCTTTTCCAAAATGGTCTGTTTTTGCAGCTTATTTTCCATATATGAGGACAATTCAGTTTTTCAAGACATGGACCCTTCAAAGGCAGAAGCGCAAGCAACATGTTAAACACAAAAATGTTTCTAGAAATTAAAGTTTTAGAAAGAAATTAAAAATGAAAAGAAATTAAAATTAGAAAGAAACTAAAAATAAAAGTCTCAGTTTTATGGACAGAAAAAATGCATGTCAAGTTTTAAAAACATATTTATACTGTCTTTAATATTGTATCATTATCCTGTTGAAAGGTCTGTTTCTTCAGCTTTAACCTTTTCACAGATGGTCTCACGTTCTCCTCCAGCACTCTCTGGTATAAAAGAGAAGTCATAGTTGATTCTACGATTGCAGTTGGCCAGGCACTGAGACAGCAAAGCAGCCTCAAACCATGACACTACCACCACCATGCTTCACAATTGGTATGAGGTTCTTCTGATCAAATGTTGCCTTTGATTTTCTGGTTTACTGTGGCCAAACAACTATGGACTTTTCTGTCCATAGCACATTGTTCCACAAGTCCTGATCCTTGCCTAGATATTGATTTGCAAACTTTTGTTTTGCCCTGATGTTCTTTTTAGACAGCAGAGTCTTCCTCCTGGCGCAGCTCCCTGTAGGTCGAATTTGTACAGTCTTGTTTGTAATAGTAGATGCATGCAGTTTTACATCAACAGGGCTGACTGTTGTTGAGTTACCTGCAGATACTCTGATGAAATTCTGGGCTTCTTAAAGACTGTTAGCATCTTACAATCTGCTCTTGGGCTAAATTTGCTGAGGCGGACAGGCCAGGACAGGTTGGCCGAGGTTTTAAATCTTCTCTACTTGTAGATGATCTTCCAGACAGTGGAATGATTGATTTCCAATATTTTGGAAATGCTTCAAGAACCTCTTCCCAGACTCATAGTCATCCACAGCCTTCTTTCTGAAGGCCTCAGAGAGCTCTTTTGATCTAGGCATTACGATGCCACACACTCAAATAACAAAGAACAAACCAGACCAGCTATGTCAGGTTTAAATAAGACAGATTCCTCCAAGACGTTCTCTAAGGGTGTTCTAATCAATTGATTTCAATTTAATGCATTTGATAGTGATTATATATAAGGGTGTACCTTCAAAAATTGCATTTTTTGTTCATTTTAACTGCATTAAGGATGATAAAAATGTTAATTCTAAGTGTCGCTTGTTAAATTACACCGATCAGGCATAACATTCTGACCACCTCCTTGTTTCTATGCTCATTGTCCATTTTATCAGCTCCACTTACTATATAGGTGCACTTTGTAGTTCTACAGTTACAGACTGTAGTCCATCTGTTTCTCTGATACTTTGTTAGCCCCCTTTTACCCTGTTCTTCAGTGGTCAGGATCCCCGTGGACCCTCACAGAGCAGGTACTATTTGAGTGGTGGATCATTCTCAGCACTGCAGTAAAACTGATGTGGTGGTGGTGTGTTGGTGTGTGTTGTGCTGGTCTGACTGAATCAGACACAGCAGTGCTGCTGGAGTTTTTAAACACTGTGTCCACTCACTGTCCACTCTATTAGACATTCCTACCTTGTCGGTCCACCTTGTAGATGTAAAGTCAGAGATGATAGCTCATCTGCTGCTGCACAGTTTGTATTGGTCATCCTCTAGACCTTAATCAGTGGTCACAGGACGTTGGTCACAGGACACTGTTGGCTGGATGTTTTTGGTTGGTGGACTATTCTCAGTCCAGCAGTGACACTGAGGTGTTTAAAACTCCAGCAGCACTGCTGTGTCTGATCCACTCAGACCAGCGCAACACACACTAACACACCACCACCACGTCAGTGTTACTGCAGTGCTGAGAATGATCCACCACCCAAATAGTACCTGCTCTGTGAGGGTCCATGGGGGTCCTGACCACTGAAGAACAGGGTAAAAGGGGGCTAACAAAGTATCAGAGAAACAGATGGACTACAGTCTGTAACTGTAGAACTACAAAGTGCACCTATATAGTAAGTGGAGCTGATAAAATGGCCAATGAGCGTAAAAACGAGGAGGTGGTCAGAATGTTATGCCTGATCGGTCTATGTCACCTAAATGAAGACTTGATATCTTATTATTAACCTGTATCATTTCAGCACACCTTCTGTTCATCCCTATTAACCACAAATAAAGCCGCTCCAATTTGCCAATTTAATTGATTAAACTGATTAAAATTCTGGCACTGAGGTCGAACTGTCATTCAGTGGAAATGACAACGGTAGGAATCTGAAAGAAAAAATGGTTTCTGATTTTCTTTCCTGGAGTTTGAGCCAAGTGAAAAGCCAAGGGAAGCATGTGGATCGTGTTTAAAGTAGACAGCAAATATGAAGCTGTGGCCAACCACATTTTATGCCTGTAGGATTCCTGCTGCGCATGTCGACGTCTGCTACAAAGCAAGCCACGACTGCAGCTTCCGATGGTTTGCAGTTATAACTTGAATGAAAACAGATTTCACCCTCTTACCCATGGGGTTCGTGGTTTGTCGTCAAGAGAAAAACAAATCTCGAGGGAAACAGAGACTAGAATGACAGATGTATCAAAGCAGTGCTGCTCTATTCAGCTGATTGATGTTTTTATGCCAAATTTAACTGACTTTAGTCTTGGCCTGTATCTGTCTTACAAAATAGAAAAGCATGGAATGTTCTGTTTGAGAGCATAGGCAGCTTTATTCTAGACTCTGCCATTTTTTATGATGTGTGATCGGGAAGAAGGAGGCGTGTATTGATAAACTGCAGACCCGTCAGTGCCTGGCGAAGGAGATGCCCACATAGGCCATAACAAAGACGTGCACACAGAGAAACATGCAGGGAAAATGTAAGCAGCCTGAAAGTACAGACCTCTACAGCATACGCAGATCAGGCCTCAATGTCCATTTTATCAGCTCCACTTACTATATAGGTGCACTTTGTAGTTCTACAGTTACAGACTGTAGTCCATCTGTAGTCCATAATACCTCAGTGTCACTGCTGGACTGAGAATAGTCCACCAACCAAAAATATCCAGCCAACAGCGTCCTGTGGGCAGCGTCCTGTGACCACTGATGAAGAACTAGATGATGACCAACACAAACTGTGCAGCAGCAGATGAGCTATCGTCTCTGACTTTACATCTACAAGGTGGACTGACAAGATAGGAGTGTCTAATAGAGTGGACAGTGAGTGGACACAGTGTTTAAAAACTCCAGCAGCTCTGCTGTGTCTGATCCACTCATACCAGCACAACACACACTAACACACCACCACCATGTCAGTGTTACTGCAGTGCTGAGAATGATCCACCACCCAAATAGTACCTGCTCTGTGAGGGTCCATGGGGGTCCTGACCACTGAAGAACAGGGTAAAAGGGGGCTAACAAAGTATCAGAGAAACAGATGGACTACAGTCTGTAACTGCAGAACTACAAAGTGCACCTATATAGTAAGTGGAGCTGATAAAATGGACAATGAGTGTAGAAACAAGGTCATAATGTTATGCCTGATCGGTGTGTATAACTCATCTTATGACTCTTTTCCTTTAACACTTACCACTAGAATTACTCGTTGTCAATGACTAAGAGAAATACGTACTGAAAGATCATGATGATGCTCAACAGAGAAAACCCTAGATTAGCGCTGTTTCACTCATATGCAGGTCAGATACAAATGTTAAGCTAAATTACTGTGGAAAATCATTAAGTTATTAAGTTTCTCAGCATGAAAAAAAATCAGAAAATATATATTTAAAGTGCATTACACACACTGTAAACTTAAATTAGTTCACTGTACTTTAAGTAATATGCAAATGTATTTATTCCAAACTTACTTAAATGTGACGTAACAGGTTCAAGCTTAAATAACTGTGCTACTTTCTCATGTTCATCCACACATTTGCAGCAAGTAAGGTTTAACTCAAACAGTCCAGTGATTAAAAATGGTTTCCACTGAGCTGGAATAATCTACTGTTTTACATTCTGCTGACTCTTCAATTTGTCAGGTTAACCTGAATCAAATCCTCTTTCTTGTGTAAATGAGAATCACGGTAATTAAAAAATGCATCCAAACTTGACGTTTAACACGAGAGTGTGCTGTGACACACAAATTACACTTTACAAAGAGAACTGTATACATTAAATATAAAAATAAGAGTTTATCTTCAGTCTGTGGGACTTTTCCAGTTTAACGGATCTTAACAAGCTTTACGTATCGTTGTCGGAAGGAAACCTCGTATCTCCACTTTTGTTGTTTTTCAGTTTTTGACATAATTTGAAAAAAACTACTGTCCTTTACATTGTGTATAAATTTCATGATGAATAGACCAAAAAAAAACAGCCCAAAATGACTTGGAAAAATGTCTGGTTCCATTGACTTACATTAAAAGTAAAGTAGGTTTTTTCCTTCTCCTGTAAAGTTACCATTTTGGAGATACGAGGTTTTCTTCTGACAACAGTGATATGTAACTAAGGCATTAGCCAAGAAACAGTACCTGTAATTAGATTTGTGTTGGTCATTTTAACAAATCAGTAAAGGAAACCGTAAAAGTAAGTGTAATTATAATCTTTTTTTTAATATTTCGTGTGTCCACTCTTTGCCTTTATTACAGCTACTATTCTTTTAGTACAGGCCTGTCAATCTGGGGACCTTCCAGGCCAAAGGGCTGCGGAGATCAACGTTTACCCTCATCAGACGCTCTGAATTCAGCTGATGGAGGCCTTGCTTTTTAGCTGATGAGCTGATTCAGGTGTGTTTAATGGGACAGTGTGCTGAGGCCTGCAGAGTTTTGGCCCACAAGGACTGGAGCCTGACACATGTGTTTTAGGGAGACTTGCCTCTTAGTTTTCCAAAGAAATCTGCAGGGATATTTTTTCACACCTCCAAAGTTCAGTCTTAGAAGTTGGTTTTTACAGTCCAAATAATCCCAAACACATTCTGCGATGTTGAGGTCTGGACTCCGGGGTGGTCAGTCCATCGTTCAGCTTCTTTGTTTGATGTGTCCGTCTCCTCTTCTCAGTGAGGTTCTTCTTGACAGCTACACATCCTTTCAGACCCACAGCGCTGAGTCGTCTTCTCACAGTGGAAGGATGGACAGAAACACCTGTGGATGTTTTCAGATTTGAAGCAGCTTGATTTTCTCCTCTCTCTCAGAGATGAAAGCTTTAAGTGCTGTTTATCTGATGGGGGCAGTTCTGGTGTCTCCCAGTCGTCAGGAGTCACATAGGAGCCACATTTCTCTGTATCTTTTAATCCTTTTATAGAACTCCAGTTTTAGAAAGTCCTTTTTTAACTTATTTGCCTTTGACTTCACCCCCTCCTCATGCAAGTAGATTATTGTATATCTAATCTCCCCGTAAGTATCTCCTGAAAAATGAATAACTTCTACTTCATGGCTGCTTTGACTGGGAATCCAATAAATGAAATTATGTCAGATATCAGATTTGTCTTTGGATCCAAATGTTATAAATTTGATCAAAGGAAGCCGCCTCCTGTAAACACTCCAATAATGACATAAACCAGTAAACCTCAAATACACATCCATCTCTTTGGTTCTCATCAGCTATGCTTTGTTTCCCCAAGCAAGGAATAATAATTTAGTGGCCTGAGAGAGGAACGACTGCCAAGGTGACGGGGAAACAGTAAAACCCACCTACCCTGAGCCTCGCCTTGAGAAAAGGAGACAATGTGTTCTACGCTGTTAGAACCCTTATTTTGACAAGATCAACATTAAATAACAGAAAACAAATGTAGTGGATTCATAAAGCTCTGCTGATCTGTGCTGCTCTGATTGCTGTTATTAAAACTACGCAGTGAGGCGTTTTCTCCCCTGAAGGAAACCTGGCATGAAGCTGCTGAGAAGAACGGTGTTGTGTTTCATCAAATCGCAAGCCACAGTGAAAATATTGCTCCAAATTGTGCCTGGTAACCTGCGGCCCTGCGGCGCGCTGTGGCAACAATCCACTGCTGTAACAATAAGCGGCGTTAAGGAGCGGCTGCAGCTCCACTTGTGAGAACTTTATTAGTTGACTCGGACTCTGATTTCTTGCGGACGCTTTTGACTTGCAGGTGAAATTGAACTTTTTTTTCTTTCTCTCTCTGTCTCTGAGTCTGGTGCCTGTGTGGAGACCACTGTGAAATCCAGAGGCCTCTTAAACCCCACTAAAACTGTTACAGTACATGTGGGAAGTAATATATGTTCTGTGGTCCCTGGAAGCGGTTCCTACACAGGAATATGCCCTACACATGGGGTTAACACGCTCAGGAAGGACCGAATTAAGCAGCATTTTACGGCACATTTGACTCTAACCGTTAATGCATTACTTCACAGCTGTAAACTGTAATTCAGCATCATCCGCATACATGTTTGAGTATATCGCTGTTGTCGGAAGAAAACCTCGTATCTCCAAAACGGTAACTTTAAAGCAGAAGGAAAAAACCTACCTTACTTTTAATGTAAGTCAATGGAACCAGAATTTTTTCCAAGTCATTTTGGGCCGTTTCTTTTGGTCCATTCAACATAGAATTTACAGACAATGTAAAGGGTAACAGGCATTTTCAAAATATGTCAAAAACTGAAAAATGATAAAAATGGAGATACAAGGTTTTCTCTTAAAATTAGGAACTACTTATGGCTCCATAAAGAACATTTTGGTGGACATTTCCTCAAAGAATCATTGAATGAGATGAGTTAGCATAAAGAATAATATAACATAATATAAAGGCTTTTATATCGTTTAAACACAGGCTGACAAACACAAGACCTGATTCTGGATTGAATATGAAGATGAATCCTGAAATGTGGAAAATTTTGAGGCGGCAAACTATTAATTCAAGCACAAAGCAGTTTAAAATGAAGATTTATACATAATAACATTACCACATGCATTGCCTGAATGAGAAACAATACTACACATAATTATTTTAAGCAATATTTAAATTATATGGTAATTTCTCAAGACAACATCAAACTCTGAATATGAGATATTAAGCTAGGCTCCTAAAAAGGTGCCACAGAGTTCTTTTTGTGATGTCATAGAAGAACCACTTATGGTTCCCTGAAGAACCATGTTTGTAAAAGAACCGTTTTAATGCTTTAAAGAACCTTCACATTATCTAAAGGGTCTATACTGATTTAAGGGGGTCTTCTTAGAACATTATGTGGAAGCTCTTTAAACCTATAGAGGTCCTTCACCTTCATACATCTCATTTAGAGAAAATAGGTTTTTATCCATTAAAAGGTTCATTAGGGAACCAAATGTGACTGTTGCACCTTTATTTTTAAAAGCACGCTATATTTTTAGAAATATTCATACCAACACATTCTTGATAATTGATAATGGATTGATAATTGATTGATAATTCTTTATATCGCTGTTGTTGAAATAATAACTTTACAGGAGAAGGAAAAAACAAGCCTTACTTTTAATGTAAGTCAATGGAACCAGAATTTTTTCCAAGTCATTTTGGGCCGTTTCTTTTGGTCCATTCATCATGAAATTTACACACAGTGTAAAGAGCAACAGGCATTTTAAAATTATGTCAAAAACTGAAAAACAACAAAAATGGACATACGAGGTTTTCTTCCGACAGCAGCGATACGTTAGTCTAGTGTGAGCTAGAAGTACAAAGCTCATAAAATGAATGTCACTTTTAATTTTTTTATAATCCAGAAATAAACTTGATAAGAAGCTGTGCTAAATGACCAACAAGACAGAAACACTTACATTCCTTTGTAGTTATAAGAATCAAAGGCATTTAAAGCAGATAAAGAAGTCATTTACCTCCTTGTTCCATTATCAGAACCAGAGCACTGACCAAGAAGAAGAAGGAAAGGTCCATAATGTCTGTCTCTTAAAGCCCGGAATCAGAATGGGATACAAAAACCTCACACATCCAGCAGAGGATCCAGGAGGGGGAAGTGCTTTGTGGAGTCTTTCAGGCTCTGTACTCCAAACACCTCCAGCCCCGCCACTCCCTCCTCCTCCTACCTCATCTTATTGTCTATCCCATGACCTCCCAGCAACTCCACACCATCGCATGCTGTACAGGTAACGTCTGTTTGCAGGACGGTTGTTATGAATACCGTATGATTAGTGAGCTCTTTGAAACAATAACCGAAGCTGTGAGACCAAAAAAGCTATGTTTGGAAGCCACGTTTTTGGAGAACAAAGTCAGGGGCAGAGGTTGAGGAGGAAACCTGTCATTTCTCAAATTGGGAAGCCGTCTAGCATGTCTTTTTCCCAAACCAAGGGAAGCCCATTGCGGTGAACCTCCATCTTAATTAAAACAATAAAAAGCCAATTGAAACATCTCGATGAACGCATCTGCATGCCAGACTCTCTTAATTGCTGAGGGCTCCTCGAACTGGTTAAACTTTTGCTTCCACTAAAAGGGAACGCCGACAGTATGGGACCCTTTCCAAACCAGCCATTTTTAAGGTGGTTCCCTCCACGTTTTTGGGGGTATTTGAGATGACAAACGCAGCAAAATCGCACTCGAGGCTTCGGAGCAAGGAACGAGCTCCGATTCGGCGGTTGTGCACCCTTGGGTGAACAGATAAGCTCGCAATTCAGCCTCCTGCACATTCAGGCAAAGGTATGTAACGTAGCGTGAAAGCTGTCGAGAGTGCTCCTCAATGGGGCCTGTCATATAATCACAGTGGGAGCAAACTGATGTATTCTCCGCTGCACCACAGGGGCTATTTTTTCCCACCCTCGGATTCATTTAGCTCACTTTTTGACTTCTCATTAGTCCAGATTAGGCTTAGCTTTGCATTCAGGAGAGATAATTAAAGGCCTGGGCGCAACACAAAACAACGTATTTGGTCACAGAGCCCTTGGCTACGGCAATTACATCTGTGAGGTGAGGTGGGGGGAATGCGGGAAGGAGAGACGGGAACTTCAGAAAGGGCTGCAGACCCAACCTCCCGCGCCTGTTTTCCTCTGTGGGAGAGCTTTAATGAACAGTTTGTCAGCGGCTGTCGGTAAAAATGGCCAGTTGTTCAGACTCCTGAGCTGAGAGGAACAGGAAGGTAATAGCACATGAACGTGTGCTTATAGTAAAAGCTAATTTTGCACCTCGTGCCAAAGTGGAGCAGAGGATAATTGGCTGTTTTGGTATTCCTTTTAGTCAAAAACAGAGCCACGGAAGCTGGCAATTGCCTTTTTTTGGCAGTGGCAACTGGAATTTCTTTCTTAGAAATGTTGGACTTCGTGGTCTTGTCATCAAACCAGCACAAGGAAGCTTCAAATTTTCATACACGCTTCTAAATAAATTTGCTAAAAAGGGCTCTTTGGAGCGATGCCATTAAAGGAGGACTTTTGGTTCCCCAAAGAACATTTCAATGGATGGTTCTTTAAAGTACCATTCTTCTGGAGAGTCTTTTTAACATTTAAGGAACCTCCACAAATAAGGTAGAGGCTTTTCCTAGAACCAGGACCCTTTATTTTTGAGCACACTCTCAGAAATAAAGGTACTAAACTGTCACTGGGGTGGAACCCTCAAGGCTCCATCTCAGTACCTTTAGTCAGGGAACATAACTGAACCATAATCCACTGAAATGATATGTTCTAAGCTGTACTGACTCCACACACCCCGTCTCGTCTCCAGGACTTTATTTTACTGTTCTGTTTAAATCATTCGGTTATGAAAAGGTACAAATACAAACTTTTCACCTGGAAAAACTTATTTAAGGTTCACAATCAGACCTTAAAACCACTGTTGGAGCTTTGAGGGAACATTTACACTGTTTGTACCTTGAAGAATGAAAAATGTACCTGAACCGAACCTTCATTTCTAACAGTGTAGATGAAGACAAAGAAACTCTAATGAGTGAACCTTTGGCAGTGGAGTACATGCAGGACTGGTGAAGCTATTACTGTTATTCATTTTTCATCAGCTCTTTTATTATGGCATCACTGTATATGTTCATTAGCAAAATTATACCAATAAATCTTGGCCACTGAGATAATAAAGTGTCTTTGTTTCAAGCAAGTACCAGCAAACACCCTAGTAGCATGGCCTCAGTCTTGCCATTGTCTTGCTGTTGAATTGGACACTCTGGGGCATCAGCTTAAGGATCCCATGCCGAATGCCAAGCATCAACAAGAGGGATATAAAGCCCCCCAGCATTGGGCTGTGGAGCTGTTAATCTGTATTTGGGGTCATGTAGCTCCATCCAATACCTTTGGGTTTGAGTGGAGTTTGTAATCCAGATCTTATCGTTCAAAATCAGTAACTGACCACATTAATGCTTATGTGGTTGAATGCAATCAAATCCTCACAGCAATGTTCCAACATCTTGCAAGAAGAGTAGAGGCTGATACTGCAGCAAAGAGGGACAAACGTCCTATTAATAGCCTTAATTTAGGACGAAATGTTGAAAGAGTCAGTATCTATAAACTTTTGTCTGTTCTGCTGGTGGCAGTTAAAAGTTGATACACTTAAACAAATTACTGTTCCAAAACTTACAACCCCATTTCCAAAAAAGCTGAGACGCTGTGCAGAATGTAAATAAAAATAAAAATGCAATAATATGCAAATCATGTAAAACATATTTTTAAAGGAAAACAATACGAAGACAGCATATCAAATGTTGAAAGTGAGAAATTTTATTGTTTTTTGAAAAATATATGCCCATTTTGAATTTGATGCCAACAACACGTTCCAAAAAAGTTGGGACGGAGGCCTGTTTACCACTGTGCTTCATCACCTCTTCTTTTATCAACACTCTGTAAGGGTTTGGGAACTGAGGAGACACTGCTGTAGTTAGAAAGTGAAATGTTTTTCTGTTCTTGTTTGATACAGGATTTCAGCTGATCATCAGTTCAGGGTCTCCTTTGTTGTATTTTTCATTTTGTAATGTGCCAAATGTTTTCAGTGGTGACAGGTCTGGACTGCAGGCAGGTCAGTTTAGCGCTTGGACTCTTTTAACACAGAACAATGCTGCTGTAATACATGCAGAATGTGGTTTTACATTGTCTTGCTGAAATAATCAAGGCCTTCCCTGAAAAAGACGTCGTCTGGATGGCAGCATATGTTGTCAAAACATGTATATATCATTTAGCATTAATGGTGCTTTCACAGATGTGCAGGTCACCCATGCCATGTGCACTAATGCCCCCTATACCATCATGAATACTGGCTTTTGAACTGTGCACTGATAACATGCTGAGTGGTCTTTAGCCTGGAGGACACAGTGTCAAAGATAATGTTGATTCGTCAGACCCCAGGACACTTTTCCACTTCCCCTCAGTCTATTTTAAATGAACTCGGGCCCAGAGAAGGTGGCAGTGTTTCTGGATCCTGTTTATATCTGGTTTCTTCTTTGTGTTTAAGAGTTTTAACTTGCATTTGTGGATGCAGTGATGAACTGTTTTCACAGACAGTGGTTTTCAGAAGTGTTTCTGAGCCCATGCAGTGATTTCCACTACAGAATCATGTCTGTTTTTAATGCAGTGCTGTCTGAGGGCCCAAAGATCACGGCCAGCAAATACTGGTTTTTGGCCTTGTCCCTTACATACAGAGATTTCTCCAGATTCTCTGAATCTTGTTGGCATCAAATTCAAAATGGGCAAATATTTTTCAAAAACAATAAAAATTCTCAGTTTCAACATTTGACATGTTGTCTTTGTACTATCTTCAATAAAATATAGGGTTTAAATGATTTGCACATCATTGCGTTTTCTTTTTATTTACATTTTTCACAGCGTTTTCAAATCTCTAACTAACAAATTCTGAGTAGACATCTCAGTAGTATCAATAGAAATCTCTAATTAACAAAATAGGTGAAAAATGTGAAATGATGTAAGTCAGCAAAAAACAACTCGTGACTTTAAATATCATTTTCACCTTCACACAAGTAATGTTTCAAGTTGAACTGGTCGCTACTCCCCCAAACAGTGGCCTTCATAGATTCCCACAGAAATCGCACTGTGAGTCAGATCTTGGCCTAATCTTGAGTTCAGTTATGATTCACCACAACTCATCAAGATCAGCATGACTATGCAGTCACTTCAGAATACAGATGCAGGATGACAAACAAGCACATCCTGATGGGATAGTTCGTACAAACACAGCCATAAAGTCTTGGTACAGCACAATAAGGATGCACCAATACAGAATTTCTGGGCCGACCGCTGCTGATATTGAAACTAACTGATGAGTTAAAGCGGCGCTGGGTAAGATTCGGGATTTGGAGACGTCTCTGTTGAAAAAGTAACTGCAATTTGTGTAAAACATTCAGAGAACTGGGTTAAAACTTGGTGAAGGATGTGAGTGAATTATCTACTATTGTCAGCATATCTTCATCAGTATAATGTTGATTTTGCATTTGAGACCTAAATATCGAACGGGACCTTCTCTTTGATCCTGTGCGTGTGTTAATACATAAAGATTTATGACGGAGTCTGAAAAAACCTGCAAAATCCAACGTGACATCTACGACTTTTAATTTAGCATTTCAGGCTTTACAGGGCGACTCACAGCAGCACACCGACTTCAAATTTTAGTATGTTTTTCTATCTTGATTCAGTAAAGCTACTTCTTTCAGTTTTAACAAAAAAATCTTACATAGTGCAGCTTTAAATAGTTTTCCATTTTAAAACGTTTAAACTGTAATCTGTTTTTGAACTGCATGAGTTTGCATGAGCTAAAAACAGAGCTCTAAATGATTGGTTGTAATTTCCAGTTGTAATTCCAACATCGGACTGAAAAATTTCATTACATTGTCTGTGAATAATATGTGTTGTGCACTTATAGTAAAATGTAAATACATTATAGGGTGAATTCAGCAAAACTGGTACACTTTTTGTTAACTACTCCAAGGGAACCCACACAAAAGTTTTAGGAGTTCTACTAAAACTGTGGCTCTACGGTAAAAAAAGTAATAGTTTGCGTATTTAGA